GGCCCGGAGGCCAGCTGGTGTTCAACAGTAGCCCCAGGACCTTGTACAGGCCAGCGCTGGCTCCACAGGCTGAACCCACAGGGAAGCTCCCTGACCCGGGTGGCCTTGGAGCTCACGGTGAATCAGCCTCCATGTGTGCCTGGGCTGGGATGTACACCTCACTTGGAGTTCAACTATCAGAGAACGTTTCGTGTTTGAAAAATGAAAACTATTTTGTGTAAATAAAAGTTTGAAAAGCCAAGAATACACAAGTTTTTTTTCCTTGCTCTGATCCCAAAGGGTCAGCTGGGTGGGTTCCTAGCTGGCTTCATCTGTCTATGGGGCCTTAGGCTTTCCAGTAAATCCTGTCTCGCCTCACCCCAAGGGGTGCTTACTTAAGTGATCCTGTCCCTTTTACAAGAGCAGATGGAGGCCCTGTGCCAAGGACTTTTCTAGTTCTCTAGTTGCTTCTGTGGGGAAGGTTGGTCTGTCCATCTGCTTATTTCTGTTTGCCTGAACAGGGTCTTGAACTCTGGTTCTTATGTGCCCTTGGCTGCCATCCTACCATTTGATTCATGCCTACAGTCTAGCATTTTGCCAGTTAGAGGTGAAAGCCAGGCACCAGTGGCTCATGCCTATAATCTCAGTTACTCAGGAGGCTGAGCCCTGAGGCTCACAGCTCAAAGCCAGCTCAGACAGGAATGTCCATGGGACTCTTCAATTAGTGGAGCTGTGGCTCAAGTGGTAGACTGCTAGCCTTGAGCTGAAGAGCTCAGGGACCAGCACCAAAAAAGGATGGAAATGACATTTCAGATTTTTCTGCCCAAGCTGGCTTCAAACTTTAATCCCTCAGATCTCAGCCTCCTAAGTAATTACAGGCGTGAGCCACTGGCACCTGGTTCAATTGTTCTTTTTAATAACCATGTGTGTGGGTGTTTGTGTGTGGGTGAGAGAGAGAGACAGACTGTCATGTAGCCCAGGCAGGACTGAGAATTCTAGGCTGGTCCTGGTGTGACTGAGTGGGTGAACCACACTGGATAAAGGGTGCTGTGCGTGTCCATCAGTCCATGGCTGCTTATCCTGTCCCCACCTGGCTGCTCTTCATGGTACTGCCATGAACATCCACGTGCTAGCTGTTTTCTCTTTTTTCCTCTCATTCTGGGGATGGGTCCCAGGCTTCCCTCACATGTAAGCACTAGGTAAGCATTCCGCCACTGAGCTCTTCCACCAACCTTATTCCTGTTTGACATGGAACATCTTCATTTCTTTTGGGTACACACCAGGCGTGGGTGGCATATTTGAGGCATGCCAGGCTCACGTGGCATGCACTTGGCCTACCAGGCCTATACCGATATCTGCTGAATGTGGTTGGTTACGTCTTAGGAAGGAGGTGTATTGTGGCTTCAAGTTGCTTTTCCCAGATTGAGCTGGAGGAAGTGGAGGTTAGCTCAAGTAGTAAGAGTATCAATCGAGTGAAAAAGCCAAGTGAGAACATGAGGCCCTACGTTCCAACTCAACAATAGTTTACCTGTCTAGCAAGTGTGAGAGGCCCCAATATCATCAGATCAATAAGATTTTGGAAAGCATGTATCTGGTGACATAATATCTATAATATTTTTTAAAAACTATGATTCAATAATAAAGACAGCTAGGCATAGTGATGCATGCCTGTAGCCTTAGTTACTTAAGTTGAGGGTAAGAGAATAGAATTCACTGGTGTGGGTTCCATAGCAAGAAAAAATACAAAGACCAGCAATCCAATTAATAGGTAAAGAATGCAGATATGTGGGTGGGGAATGTGGCTTAGTGGTAGAGTACTTGCCTAGATGCATGAAGCCCTAGGTTCGATTCCTCAGTATCACATAAAGAGAAAAAAGCCAGAAGTGGTACATGGCTCAAGTGAGAGAGTACTAGCCTTGAGCAAAGAAGTTCAGCAACAGTGCTCAGGCCCTGAGTTCAAGCCCCAGGACTTGCAAAATAAATAAAATGCAGAGATGGCTGGGCACTGGTGCTCACATCTGTAATCGTAACCTCAGGAGGCTGAGATCTTCCGATTGCAGTTCAAAGTCAGCCCAGGCAGGAAAGACCATGAGGCTCTTTATCTCCCAACTACTAAAAAGCAGGAAGTGGCACTATGGCTCAAAAGGTATAATACTTAACCTTAAGCGAGCAAAAGAACTTAGGGACAGAGCTCAGGCCCTGAATTCAAGCCCCATGATTGACACAAAAGCACAAAAAAGCCTGTTTCAAAACCAAAATACGAGCTGAGATGACTCAGGTAGAGGTCCTGCATTCATCTCTGTCACACACACACACACACAAAAGCTTCAAAGCCCTGTTTACAAGAAGCACAAGGTTCTAGTGGCTTTCTCATGACATTTACTGTGTGAGTAATGCTAAGCACTGCACAGTTCCATTTCCTTAATTCTTGTGACCTCTCAAAAAAACGTAAATTGAGCTGAGGTTGTGACTCAGTGGTGGCTACACTTAGTGTGCACAAGGTCCTTGGTTTCTATCCCTAGCACAAGAAAAACAAAACTGTAGATTGGGGATCAACAAATTTGTGTGTGTGTGTGTGTGTGGTTTTTTGTTTTTGTTTTTGTGTGTGTGGGGGGGGGGGGGAGCTTGAACTCAGGGCCTAGTCACTGTCCCTGAGGTCTTTTTTTTTTTTTTTTGTCGGTCATGGGGCTTGAACTCTGGGCCTGGGCGCTGTCCCTCAGCTCTTCAGCTCAAGGCGAGCGCTCTACCACTTGAACTACAGCACCACTTCCGGTTTTCTAGTGGTTTATTGGAGATAGGAGTCTCCCGGTCTTTTCTGCCCGGGCTGGCTTTGAACCACGATTCTCAGATCTCAGCTTCCTGAGTAGCTAGGATTACAGGCGTGAGCCACCGGCGCCCGGCTGCCCCTGAGGTCTTTTGCTTGCTCAAGACTAGTACTGCTACCTACGACTTGAGCCATAGTGCTGTTTCCAGCATTTTAGTAGTTAGTTGGCGGTAAGAGCCTCACGGACTTTCCTGCTTGGCTTGGAATTGAACCACAATCCTTATATCTCGGCCTCCTGGGTAGCTAGGATTACAAATGTGAGCCACCAATGCCTGGCTCTGTGTGTGGGGGTGTGTGTTGGAACTGGGATTTTAACTCAGGGCTTGGGTACACTGTCACTTGCCTTTTTCACTCAAGGCTTGTATTTTACCACAGCTCCATAAGCCTGGCTTAACCAATTATGGATTTTTGTTTTTTTCAGTCCTGGGGCTTGAACTCAGGGCTGGGCGTTGCCGCTGAACCTCTTTTGCTCAAGGCTAGCACTCTACCACTTCTGGCTTTTTCTGTGTATGTGGTACTAAGGAATCAAACCCAGGCTTCATACATGGTAGGCAAGCACTCTACCACTGAGCCACATATCTAGCCCTGTTGTTTTCTTTTGGTAAAGAACCAGACAGTATTTTCAACTTCACATGTGAGACAGTGTGTGACACATTTCCTCAACTCTGCTTGTGGCATGAAAGTGACCACAGGCAACTTGCAGGCACCAAGACCTGGCTGAGTGCCAGGTGTCTGTTTACCCAGAGAGCCGGGCTCTCTGCAGCATGCTGGCTATGCATCTCCTCACCCCCTCCCAAGGCTGCTCCTCCGGTCTTCCCAAGGAGTATCAGGTTGCTTATCTGGGCCTGACGGCTACTGCTTCACAGGAAGGACTAGCAAAGCCAGGGCCTGCAGGCGGTTATCTTCAGCAGCCATGAATCCCGCCAGCTTTCCCTGCCTGTAACAGCCCCTAGGCCCATCCCCTGGGTAAAGACTGGTCCAAGGGACAGGAACCCCTATTCTTGGCCTGAGGCTCCCAGCTGAATGTGTGAGAGTGTAGCTGAGTATCGAGTGCTGCATAGCATGCAAAGGCTTCGGGCCTGTCCCCGAAAAAATCTGAAGGCAAGTGTCAGTGTACATCACGCCTGATTCTAGCTACTCTGGAGTTAGATCTGGAGATCTGTGGTTTAAGAGCCAGCCCAAAGAAAAACAGTCTGTGAAATTCCATCTCAAAAATAACAAGGCAGCCAGGCACTGGTGGCTCACACCTGTAATCCTAGCTACTCAGAAGGCTGAGATCTAAGGATCACAGTTCAAAGCCAGCCCAGGCAGGAAAGCCCGTGAGACTCTTATCTGTAATATAACCACCAGAAAACTGGAAGTTGTCCTGTGGCTCAAGTGGTAGAGTGCTAACTTTGAGATGAAGAGCTGAAGGACAGTGCCCAGACCCAGAGTTCAAGCCCCCTGACAAAAATAAATAAGGTGGGCACTGGTGCCTCACACCTGTAATTTTAGCTATTCAAGAGGCTGAAATCTGGATTGTGGTTCGAAGCCAGCCTGGTCAGGAAAGTCTAAGACTCCAATTAACCACCAGAAAGCCAGAAGTGGATCAATGCGTGACTTAAGTGGTAGACTGCTAGCCTTAGAAAAAAAGAAAAAAAAAACCCAAAAACTTAGCAGCAGTGTACCAGTAGCTCATGCTTGTAATTCTAGCTACTCAGGTTGAGACCTGGAGGATCCCAGTTCAAAGCCAGCCCAGGCAGAAAATTCATGAGACTTATTGCCAACTAACCAGCAAAAATCTGGAAGTTCTATGATTCAGGCAGTAGAGCACCAACCTTGAGCTTTGAAAGTCAAGTGGGAAGGGGATGCCCTAAGTTCAAACTCTGATACTAGCAAATTTTTTTTTAAATTGCAGTGTCCAGTTCTACATTGGTAATGATTCTAGCCCTTGGTGTCCAAAGACCTGACACAGGGACCCCATAGCTGGAGAACATAGGCTGCACGCAAATGGACAATTCCACTGCACAGTCCCAAACTGTGAGTCAGGAAGCAGTCATCTGACAGCCATGTGGGCTTGTCACCTCCCTGGGACAGTGGCAGGGATTTGTGCCCCACAACCCTGGGCTTTGAGGAAGTGAAGACATTGCCATAGCCGCCTCCCCATTGTCCCCCGCACTGGCCTCTGCCCCAGGCTGCCACTGTCACAGAAAACAGACAAGATTTTAAAACTTTATTGTAAGCAAAATAGATGTGTGTCAGAGAACTACATAGTGACCTGTAAGCGATTTTGCAGTGTTCCTAACCCCAGGTGTCCAAACCAGCCCTGCAGCCGCATCTGCTGGCTCAGCCTCCATCTCCAGCCCCACAGCGCCCAGCATGGGCACCCACTCAAGGCACTGCACTTCCCCAAGACTACAGCAAGAAGAGGCTACGATGGGTTCTGCACCCCCAGAAAGTAGGAGGCGGGGTGGAGGGAGTTCTCTGGGTGTGTCCACACAAGCTTGTGGTATAAGAAAGCCAAGACTTCACCCAAGAGCAAAGACTTGCCCAGCTGAGCCAGGGCCAGCTTGGGTGTGGAGAAGACACAGGTGCCTTCCACAGGCCCACTGTCCCCTGTGTTGCCGGAAGCTTCTGGGAGGAGGTGGCCGGTGATGTCCAATTCCAGTGATCCTGGGCATCAGACTGAGCCGTGCTTCAAAGCTCAGGATAGTCCAGAGAGGCAGAGCCCAGAGGGAAAGTGGCCAGCAATGGTCCCTACCATCATCTCTTACACAAACTGAGGCCTCCTTTGCTGGCAGATGCCCGCCGCAAGATGCCCACCTCGGAGCCTCATGGTGGGCAGTGGGGCTGGTGCCACGTTGTTGGAATGGTTGGTATTGTATGTGGACAGCTGTTGAGCCCCACCCACCTCATCCTCGCTACCCAGCTGCTCCTCGCTGCCCCTGTGGCTTTGGGGACCCCCTTCCAGTCCAGCCTCATCCTCCTGCTTGTCGGAGAAGCTAAGCTGGTGCAGGGCGCTGGCATCTGACGATGACAGGGGGTCTGAGGTCTCCTCTAGCTCTGAGTCTGAATCATTGGAGGCAACTTGGGATTCTAGGAAGGCAAGGTAGAGACAGACAGACATCCTGTGATGAGAAGGGCACCTGGCTTGGACACCCCAGATAGCCTTGGGGCTGGAACGCCGCACCTCGGTGCTGTCTTTGAGCTTTTGCACTCTACCACTTGAACCACAGCTCCCCTTCCAGCTTTTTGGAGGTTAATTGGAGATATGAGTCTCATGGACTTTCCCACCAGGGCTGGCTTTGAACCACAATCCTCAGATCTCAGCCTCCTGAGTAGTTTAGGATTACAGGCGTGAGCCACCAGCACCTGATTATCCAGCTTTATTCCCTCTTGAAACCTAGACTTCAGTAAAGTGTCCTGGCCTGGTGCTTGTACCCAGAGACTCAACACACACAGGCATCATTCATTATATGCTCCTTTTCTGGCACAGGTGACCATCTTGGAGAAGAGCTGTGTTGCTTGTGCTTACACCACATTAAAGGAGCCAGTGAACAGCTGATGTCCCACAGGACATACCTCCCACTGTATCACGTGTACTCACTGGTCAGAGCCACCCACTCACCTTGGCCTCCATCCTCAGCCTCCTCCTGTAGGGTGAAGGCAGCCTCCACACCCGTCTCCAAGTGGGGCATCAGCACCACCACCTCGGCCCGCTGGTTACATGGTCCACCCTGCAGCAGGGAAGGAGTCATGGAAGAGCCTCACTCACCCAGCCCCATCCTAGCTGTTTTCTTCCAGGGGAGTGTTTTTAAAACAGGCCTGGCCCTGCTTTTTCTTTTGGTACTGCTACTGGGGCTTGAATTCAGGGCCTTGTGCTCTTCCTTTGCTCTTTTGCTCAAGGCAGGCACTTTACCACTTGAGCATTACCTCCACTTTTGGCTCTTTACTGGTTAACTGGAGATAAGAATCTCTGGCTTCAAACCTTGACTCTCAGATCTCAGTCTCTGGAGTAGCTAGATTATGGGCATGAGCCACTAGCAGCGCAGCTAGTCAACGCTGGCTCTTACAGGATCAGGAGACACCACGTGCCTGTCCCCCAACCCCATGGGAGCTTCTCCTCAGTGCTCTTTCATTGAGTAGATACTCTAACCAGATGGCCAAGCCCAGCACAGATGCCGGCACTGGAGCCCCAGGCTGCAAACTCTGGGGTTCGGGACTCACAGCTTCCCGGGCTCATAGGGTCCCACTTAGGTTGGCAGCCAGAGGAAACCCAAAGACACCAAGAGATACCCAGAGATAGGTAACAAAATACAAGGGAGAAAGAATAAACAGTTTCTAAAGCTTGAAAAAAGGGGGGGGGGCAAAAAACTAAAACAGAGCAGTAAGCCAGGTACCAGTGGCTCACGCCTGTAATCCTAGCTACTCAGGAGGCTGAGATCTGAGGATCATGGTTCAAAGGCCGCTTGGGTAGAAAAGTTCCTGAGACATCTCCAACTAACCACCAGAAAACCAGAAGTGGAACTGTGGCTCGACTGGAATAGTGCGAGCCTTGAGCAGAAAAGCTAAGGGACAGTGCCCAGGCCTTGAGTTCAAGCCCCAGTACTGGCACCAAAAAAACAAAAAGCAACCCATAGGGCTGGGAAGGTGGCTCAGTGGTAGTGTTTGTCTTGCATGCATGAGGCCCTGGGTTCGATTCCTCAGCACCACATAAGCAGAAAAGGCTGGAAATGGCGCTATGGTTCTAGTGGTAGAGTGCTAGCCTTGAGCTGAACAGCTGAGGGACAGCACCCAGGCCCAGAGTTCAAGCCCCATGACAGAAGGGAAAAAAAAAAACCCATCAATGAGGTATAGTGCTCATGGCAGACACTGCTGGGGATGGACAAGCAATAGGAAATAGAGTTCTGGTTTGAGGGAAGGGACCACAGGGTCTTTGCACCTCCTATGGCTCTCCTTTTTTTCCTGCTTATGTGGTGCTGAGGAATTGAACCCAGGGCTTCGTGCATGTGAGGCAAGCACTCTACCACTGAGCCAACTTCCCAACCCCTCCTGAGGCTCTCCTTTAGGACTCACGTTTCATCCAGTTCTCTGCTTACCACACCTCACTGGCCTCTCTGGCTGATTAGTCCAAACCAGCCTTTCCAAGTATGCTTTGTGTCTCCATCCCATAAGTCAGTGGTACTCATTTTCCCAGGAGGACAGCTCAGTCAGACCCAAGCCTCACCTGGCCCTCGGGTGCCTCCTCAGACTCCTCCTCAAAGACCAGGCTGTAGTGGACGATGAGGGCCTCGATCACGCGGGCCTGGTGGGGATAGTCCACCAGGGATGAGAGGGAGACGGTGGCCTCAGTAGGCCGGGGCCGCAGCAGCGTGGGTCCAAAGACGATCCCCAGATTCCCTGGGGTCATCTTGTTGTCCTCCTCTACCTCCACGATCCTGAGGGTCCAGGAGGGTGCAGGATGTTGTGTGAGGGGTTTCCCAGGGATTCCTGCCACCCTGCCTGGGGATGGGGGGGGGGACTCACCTGCGCAGGTGTCGCAACAGGTACTGCAGCGTGGCCCGGTTCTTGGCTGGCAGGTCCTGCAGGAGCTCTCGTAGGCGGCCCACCATGGCTTCAGTAGCTGCCTCGCTCTCGGACCCATCCTGCCGGCCCCGGGATGCGGCTTTGGCCTCGGCTTCAGCCTTCAGGCTCTCCTTGGCCAGGCCCACGAGCTCGTGGTAAAGGCGAAAGGAGATGAGCGGCTCGGGTAGCTACAAAGCAATGTGTGTCAGGACCTGGTTAAGTGGCCTATATCCTAGCAAGACTCCTGCTCCAGCCACACCCACCAGCCACAGGGCGTGGCTCCATAGGCTGTCCAGCTTCAGGCCTGAGTTTGCCTTCCTTGCCCGCCCCCACACCCCAAGCCAGACTTGTATAACGTTCCAGGTGCCCCGGCCCCGCCCCCTCTCATCAGGCCCCACCCACTGCTGCACCAGCCACTACCTTATCCTAGCAGTTTTGCCCCTGTCAATTGCTCCTGCCCACCCAGTTCTAGCCTCACCTCCACCGATCCTGCCCACACTGATCCAGCCTCGCCGCCAGCCTAACACACTTTGCCTGGCCACAATTCTCCCCGTTGCTAGCTCTGCAGTCAGCCTCGACGTTAGCCCACCTTCCCATCTCACCTGGCGCAGGTAGAGCTTGAGGACGTTGCTGATGTCGTGGGGCAAGGCCTGTGACAGTTCCACCAGCTCCTTGCCATTCTCAAAAGCCTGGCACAGCTTCTCTACACGCGTTTTCACGCCGTTCACCCGGTAGATGCCCTGAGGAGATGCCATCACCTGCTGCTCCGCCCACGCTCCCAGCCCCCCCCGGACACCGCACCCCCCTGCGCCACAGTGTCACACCTTGGTGCGCAGCGCACGCCGCTCAATCTCACAGACGCACTTCTTAATGATGAAGGGCACGCCGTCTGGGGTGCCCTGGGCTGCCTGGCTGAAGTCCTGGCCAAAGAGCTGCAGACGGCCCTGCAGTTTCTTGTGGCCACACTGGATGGCCAGAGTCTCCAGACATTTCTTGTGACAGGCCAGGCAGCACTAGAGGACCAGGAAAAAGTGAACGCCAATCCCTCTCGACACTCAGTTCAGATGCTGGGCTTCACCTGCCTCTTCCCTGAAATTCCTCATTGTACCTTCTGAAAACACAAGCCCGACTCCTGCCTGGCTACACGAAATCCCTTTTGGTTGGAAGGAAATTCCAACCCTTTGGTTTTTCTACCACAACCCCAGGACCTTCGCACTAGCCATGCTCTTTGCCTGAGATAACATATCTATCCCCACAAAGCCCATCTGTGTTTCTGGAGGTACTGACGCTTGAACTTAAGGTCTCCTACTTTTTAGGCAGGTGTCTTACTACTTCAGCCATATCCCCACCCTTTCTTTACCCTATCCTAGGCCTGCCACGTACTTCCTCGCATTCTGCCCCCTGGAAGTAGACATAGCTGTTACACTCCCGGCACTTGGCAGGCGTGCGGAGCTTCCTCAGCCGATGTGTGCGGGCTGCCTTGGACAGTCCCACGTGGCGGAAAGGCCCACTGGGCACGGCCACGGGCAGCTCCGGGGTGATGTCACTGAGGTCAGCTAGAGGCAGGATGGGAAGCCAGCATCACAGACTGGAAGGGGGTGGACCCATGGAGCATGCCCAGATTCCCTGTCCCACCCCCACCCAAGTGTTCAAAGGCCAACGCACCGTCACCACCCTCCTGCTCCACCAACTCCTCGCTGGATGACATGGTGCCACTGGACGACGTCCGTTCAAACTTCTTGAAATCTCCTGGGCAGGGAACAGGGCCATCAGATTCATGGTACCAGGTCTAGGAGCTCTAGGACAAACATCTTGTGTTGTTGTTGTTGTTAGTTGAGGGCTTGAACTCTGGGCCTGGGCGCTGCCCTTGAGCTCTTCAGCTAAAGGCGAGCGCTCTACCACTTGAGCCACAGCGCCATTTCCGGTTTTCTAGTGGTTTATTGGAGATAAGAGTCTCATAGACTTTCCTGCCCAGGCTGGCTTTGAACCGCGATCCTCAGATCTCAGCCTCCTGAGTAGCTAGGATTACAGGCATGAGCCACTGGTGCCCAGCTTAGGACAAACACCTTTGACCCCCACAGTGAGAAAAGCCAGTGGAGCCCAGAGGCAGGGGAGGGGGCATCTGAACCCCATTGTGCATAGTCCCTTCACCTGAGCCAGGGCTGGGGTCAAGGCCACTGTCGGAGTCTGAGATGGAGATTGGCCATGATTTGTGCACCTGGTGTCCTCGTCCACCTGCAGCGAAGAAGAGACGGCAGTGGAGGCATCTCTCAGAGAAAAGTGGCAGGGCCACAGGACATCAGCACGGCCCAGGCTCCTGCAGGCACTCACCCCTGCGCTCCTTGGCTGGTGACCCTTCACTGGGCCCACCTTCCTCTGGGGGGTTGCTGGGAGTCTGGGCTCCTGCTGTGTCACCAACATTGAAGCTGCCCTTCCGGGCACGCAGGACTGGAGACCTGGAGGTAAGGGGTTTAAGGATGGGGGGAGGTCATGGTGAGCTAGGTAGGTCCTCCCATGCCCACCTTTGCAGGGGGTGGGTCTGGATTCCGCTGCGGTACCAGGCATTGGCTGAGATGTGCGGCTCGAAGTCGTAGCGTACGTCAGGCTCCTCCCCACGCTGCAGCTGGCGTACATGGGATGCATACTGCTGGCCCAGGTCATAGAGTTTGCTGCTTTCACACAGCATCTGGAAGTGGACGGGCAGGGGCGCCGTCTGCATGTGCATCAGCTGGTAGTAGGAGATGGTGGCCTGTGGGTAGCAGCAAGGACACACCGTCAGCAGGGCTGGACCTCAGCCCGGCCCCCCACATACCCAGCCCCCCTCACACACAGGCACACACCGTCTTGATGGTCTGGTCACTCTGCTGGATCACCTCTTGGAGCTGTCGCAGCGCGGTCACCTTGGTGTCCTCCAGCTCCTGCTTCTGTGTCTTTGCGTCAGCCACACACGTGCGATAGGTGGCCATGGCTTCCTCTGCCTGCGGTGGGGTGGATGGGCTCAGCCTGGGCTCAGTCCTCAGGGCCTAGCCAGAAGTGACACAGAAAAACCCCACCGAGGAACCGGGCAGGAAGGGCAGGAAAGACATTTCTGGAAGACTATTCAGTCCTGGCAAAGGCCTGGAGGTGGGAAATTTCATGATGCATCAAAAGCCTTGATCTGAGAGCTGGTGCCTCACACCTGTAATCTTAGGCTCCTCAGGAGGCTGAGATCTGAGGATCATGCATCGAAGCCAGCTCAGGCAGGAAAGTCTATGAGACGCCTCTCTCCAATGAACCAGCAAAAAACTGGAAGTGGAGGTATGACTCAAGTGGTAGAGGGTCAGCCTTAACTGCAAAAGCTAAGGGACAGCACCCAGACCCTGAGCTCAAGCACTACAATGGGTATGCACACACACACACACAAGCGCGTGCACTGCCCTGCCCTTGGGCTCAGCTTTGACCCTCCCCTCTGCTGCCCATCCACCATCACCTTGTTCTTAGCCTCCTCCTCTAGGCGTCGCCGTTTGTCCAGGGTCTTGGAGGCTGCACTGCCCACCCCGGGGCCAGCACCTGCCTGTTCCTCCTCAGCCTTGGCCATCAAGAAGCGGGCCTTGTCGTGGTCCTCACAGCGCTGAACGTAACCCTGCTTGGCCTTGCGTAGGTTGGATTCTGCCTCTTGCTGTAAAAGGATGGAGCTCATTCTCCTCCTCCCCAGCTCCTTCCTCCCTCCCCAACCACATCCTGGGAGCAGCGGCCACAGACCAAAGACAGGGATCATAGTTGCGGCCACCTGCAGCAGAACCCTTGCAAGAAAGCAGTGCCTTCTTATTTTATCTGTGCTGGTACTGGGGCTTGAACTCAGGGCCTTGCACTCTTGGCTTTTCTACTCAAGGCTGGTGCTCTAGCACTGGAGCTACAATTCACTTCCAGCTTTCTGCTGGTTAATGGGAGATAGGAGTCTCAAAGACTTGCCTGCTTTGGCTGGCTTCAAATCAGCAGCCTCAGATCTCAGCCTCTTGAGTAGCTAGGATTTCAGGCTTGAGCCATCGGCACCTAGCTTTCACTGCCCATGTTATAGTCAAGGAAACTGAGACATAAGTCAGCTCTTTATAAAAGCACCAGCCGCTCACGCTGGAGAGGGCAGGCCTCCTGCACCTAGGTTGTTTTCACTTCCTTTCTCACAGATGAAAACAGAGGCTGCCCAGACAGGAAGCCAGGCACCCTCAGGGAGGCAGGAAGTACTTATTCCCCCCCTTGGGTGGGGGACATGTTAGATAGTACAAGCCTGTAATCCTAGCTACTCAGGAGGCTGAGATTAGAGATCATGGTTCAAAGCCAGTCCCAGCAGAAAGGAAAGTCCATGAGACTCTTTATCTCCAATTAACTACCAAAAAGCTGGAAGTGAAGCTGTGGCTTAAGTGGTAAAGTGCTAGCTTTAAATACAGTGCCCAGGCCCTGTGTTCAAGCCCTAGCATGCACACACACACATACACACACACACACACACACACACGTAGAAGAGTTCCAGGACCTGGGAGTGTAGATCAGTGGTAAGGCAGGTGCTTAGCCTGGGCCCAATCCTCAAGCACCAAAATCAGACGATTTCAATGCTAGCCTCAGCTATGCTGAGGAGATGCTGCCTGAATTCTCCCCTCCTGTGAGGGGTGGGGGGTTGGGTGGGAGTCAACAGGGAAAGCAAAAAAAGGGAATCAAAGCGTTGCAGTCTCTATTCTGTAGTATGTAAAGAGCTCTGGAAAATCAATACGAAACAAGTCACTTCCCAAATGAGTGAGCAAAATATGAACCAAGGGTTCCCAGGAATTGAGAAGCACAACTGTGACATGTGAGGGGAACTGTACGCTCTTCAGCCAACCCATTCATTTGGGGGCACTGATCTAACATAAGTTCTCTCACAATTTACTGGCGGGACAGAGCCTGTCACCGCAACAATGTTTACTACCCAACTGCTCAGAAACAGTCAGGGTTAAATTCAAAAACCAGGAAGGCCTGGCACATGGCTCAAGCAGCAGAGTATCAGCTCTGAGTTCAAATCCCAGTACTGCTTAAAAAAAAAAATATTCAATTTGGTGGCATATAGGTATTGATTTAAAAAAAAAAAAAAGAGGTAAATTCAACTGGCTCCAGTGGCTCATGCCTGTAATCCTAGCTACTCAGGCGACTGAGATTTGAGGATTGCAGTTGGAAGCCAAACCAGGCAGGAAAGTCTGTGAAATTTATCTCCAATTAATTGCAGAAAAAGCTGTGGCTCAAGTAGTAGAACACTCCCCTTGAACAAAAAGAAGCTCGGGGGCCAGCACCCAGGCCCAGAGTTCAAGCCTCAGGACTAGCAAAATAACAACAACAATAATAAATAAATTGCCAGTTGCTAGTGGCTCATAATTATAATCCTAGCTACTCAGGAGGCTGAGATCTGACCATCAAGGTTCAAAGCCAGACCACACAAGAAAGGAAAAGTCCATGAGACTCATCTAATTACCAGCATAATGCCAGAAGTGGAGCTGTGGCTCCAGTGGTACCTGCCAACCTTGAGTGACAAAGGTCAGGGACAGGTCCCAGGCCCTGAGTGCAAGCCTCCTCACTCTACTCAAAACACACACACATGCACACACACACACACGCGCGCGCGCGCACGAACCTGGAGCCTGCACCAGACCTGAGGCTGAACCGCAGCCTCCTCCATCCTGGGGACCTGGGAACCGCCATTTCTGCCCCCAGCACGTGCTGGACCAAGTGGGCATCTTTGGCGCCCTATCTGACGCACGCGCAGTAGCCTGCAGCTCAGCTTCAGCGGCGTGCGCATGCGCAGCGCCCCACCTGCGCACGCCGTCCCTTCGCCTCCACGCCCCCGTCCCCACCTGCTGCCCCTACCAGCTTCCGCTGAGCACGGTGCCACGATTCCTTGATCTCCTTCCTGCGTCTCTCATGCTCCTGCCGCCGCACAGTCAGGGGCTGAGGGGGAAAGAGACCATAAGTGGGGAGACCCAGTCACAATCCCCGCCCAGCCTGGCTCTCCCGGGCTGCGCCTACCTGCATGAAAGTCTGATTCTGCAGCGTGCTGGCCGCCTGCACCATGCCATGGCCAAACTCCAGGTCCTGCTCCAGGGCCAGCGAGTAGATGGACAAGAGGGGCATGTGGGGCTGTGGGGGAAGGGTGGCCAAAGTTACTGAGTGTGGGGACGATGAGGGCAGAGGCAATCCCCGCACCCTAAAACCTTCCCAACTCCGCGGCCAGCCAGTGTTCGCGCCCGGGGCACAGAGGGGAAGCTCCAGCCTCAGGCCTGCGGGGCAACCCCAGTGGATCTCACCTCATGCATGATGCTCTGTCTGCAGTTATGGACCACCTTCTGCAGGCCTTTGGCAAATTCCATCTCTGCAGGGTGCACGGTACAAAAATGAGACAGTGAGTGCACTTAAACTGCCTCACGCCTGTCATCCTAGCTACGCAGGAGGAGGAGATCTGAGGATCACGGTTCAAAGGCAGTGCAGGCAGGAAAGTCTGTGAGACTCTTAACTCCAATTAACCGGAAGTAGAGCTGTGGCCCAAGCGGGTAGAGCGCTAGCCTTGAGCAAATAGAACTCAGGGACAGTGCCCAGACTCCAAGTTCAAGCTCCACAACAAAAGTAATAATAATTGCCCTCTGCCAGCCTCGCCCCGGCCCACCCTGGCTCTCACCCAGCGTGGTCCGCTTTTCCAGGTAGCCAATGAGATCCTTCATGTACTTCGCCATGTTCTTGGCATACTGCAGCGCAGCGTCCACACCTCCCTCACAGCGCTGAAGCAGCAGGTCCACTTCCTCCGGGGGCAGGCAGCCTGAAGAAGAGCTGCTCAGCCCTAACCCCATCCCCAGAGGCCCCCCTCAACCACCTTGCCATCTGAGTACAATGGGGGACGCTCACCTTCCTCGCAGTCCTCAGAGCCCGGTGCTGGAGCCTCACTGCCCTGTCCATACAGGTTCTCCATGGACTGCACGGGCAGGAGATGGAGGGTGTGGGACCCCTGGCTGAGGTCCATTATCCCCACCCTGCCGATGCTGGGCTAGTCCCGGGCGTGGCCCAGAGCCACACTGCCTCTGCCCACCTTGGCTCACCTGGCTGGAATCCCCAGGAGGCACAGACAGGAGGGTGCTGCTATCAACCTCACCCATGAGGAACTCAGACACTCTGCAGGGCCAGAAGAGCAGCATCCGTGGACATATGGACACCTGTGACCACCCCCAAGCCCCTGCCCATAGGTTCCCACACTCACGTGCTACTGAATGACACGGCCATGGTCTCCAGAGCCTTCTCAAACTCCCTCTTGTCTGATTCATTGTTACACTCATAATGGAAGGCTGGGAGGGAAAGACCAAGCATGGTCCACTCAGACTATCTCCATATCTAACTATCAGAAACTCTCAGCCTCTGGGCACTAAGGGCTCACACCTGTAATCCTAGCTACTCAGGTGGCTGAGATCTGAGGAACTTGGTTTGAAGCCAGCCCCAGCAGCAAAGTCCATTAGACTCTTATCTCCAATGAACCACCATAAAACCAGACGTGGCACTGTGGCTCAAAGTGGTAGAGCTCTACCCTTGAGCAAAAGAACAGACATTGTGCAGGCTCAGTGTGCAGGAATGGCACATACAATAATATAAAACTTTGTGTGTGTGTGTGTGGGGGGGGTCATAGGGCCTGAACTCTGGGCTTGGGCACTGTCCCTCAGCATTTCAGCTCAAGGCTAGCGCTCTACCACTTGAGCCACAGCACCACTTCCCACTTTTTCTGCTTATGTGGTGCTGTGGAATTGAACCTCATGCATACAAGGCAAGCACTCTACCACTGAGCCATCTTCCCAGCCCCATGACACTCATTTTTGATAGCCCCTTCCCAGAAAGTCCTTCCTGCCAAGCACAGAGGCCTTGCTGTTCCATCCCAGTTGGCTGACCTTTGATCTTGGCGATGAGGGTGCCGGCCGCTGTCAGTGTCTCCACAGTGTTCAACAGTGGGTACTTGGAGATCACCTGGCGCATCACACGCAGGGTCTCACCCAGGCATTCATGGGCCAGTGGCCGCCGGGCCTCGAGAAGATCTGCTGAGCAGAAAGAATGTGAGTTGGGGCGGGAGAGTCTTCCCAGCTCCTCCTCCTCCAAACCCCTGTCCCCAGGTGTGAAATGGAGGCAGAGGTGAGCAAGGGCAGCTGGGGGATTGAATGCAGGCCACTGCCACTCCCTGCGCTACTAGTTAGATCAGCGAAGGCTAGACCTTGGCTTGGTTGGTCCTTTCTGACTAGAACACTTTTTTTGTCCCTCCAGAAAGCAAAAACTCCCACTTCTCCTTCAAGCCTCAGTCCTCCTGGGTGCTGATGGCTCACGGTGGTAGTAACTACTTAGGAGGCTGAGAACTGGAGGATCACAGTCTGTTACTAACCTGGGCAGAAAAGTATGCTATACTCTATTTCCAAACATCTTTTTTTCTTTTTAAAGCAGGTTTGGTGACGTGGCTCAAGCAGTAGAATGCCAAGCATCGCCAAATCTAGCCAAGCATAGACCCTGAGGTCAAACCCTAACACAGCCCCACCAAAGAGAAAGCTGTAGCCCTAGGTCTCTTCCTCCAGGCAGTCCTACTCCCTTTTGGGGCCTCATTCTTCAGCCTGCTCCTGGCCGCACCCCACCTGTCTAGGGACTAGGCCTAAGCAATCCTGATCCCTCACTGTCCTGGAAGCTACTACCCCAGGAGACAGGCACTATGACCACCCTTATTTTGCAGATGAGGAAACTGAGGTACAGAGAAAAAAACCTCTCTCTCTCTTGCTGGAGGAGGGTGGTTCTGCCTATCCTAGGGCTTGAACTCAGGGCCTGGGCTGTCCCTGAGCTTTTTTGTTCAAAGCTAGTATTCTACCACTTGAGCTTACAGCTCCACTTTTGGCTTTTTAGTGGCTCATTGAAGATGAGAGTCTCAGGAACTTTCTGCCTGGGCTGGCCTCGAACCAGGATGTTTATCAGATCTCAGTCTCCAGAGTAGCTAGGATTACAGGCGTGAGCCACCAGTGCTCGGCTATGGAAGCCATTTCTTAAGGATCAAACAGTTTCTTTTTTTAGTTTTTTTTTTTTATTTCCAGTTGTGGGGCCTGAACTCTGGGCCTGGGCACTGTCCCTCAGCTCTTCAGCTCAAGGCTAGCGCTCTACCACTTGAGCCACAGCACCACTTCTGGCTTTTTTCTTTTTTGCGTATGTGGTGCTGAGGAATCGAACCTAGGGCCTCAGGCATGCAAGGCAAGCACTCTACCACTGAGCCAACTTCCCAGCCCAGGATCAAACAGTTTTGTTGGGCTGGGAAGGTGGCTCAGTGATAGAGCGCTAGCCTTCCATGCATGAAGGGTTCGATTCTTCAGCACTACATACGCATAAAGAAAAAGTCAGAAGTGGCGCTGTGGCTCAAGTGGTAGAGCGCTCACCTTATGCTGAAGAGCTGAGGGACAGCGCCCAGGCCCAGAGTTCAAGCCCCACAACCGGACCCAAAAAAAAAAAAAAACCAAAACAGTTTTGTCATCTGAAGACATGAGAGGGCTGGACAGAAAAAGTGCCTGGCTTGATTTCCTGGGCAGCAGTGAGCCATACTGGCTATCAGCACGAAGAAGAGTGATGGTCGGCCGCAGAGGGCAAGCCGTTCTCAAGCATTCTAAGTTGGAAGAGATTTGTTGCTTTTTGCAATGGGGTATACACACGCCGGTGTGCTCAAGACGCAGCAGTCTTAGGAAGGGGCTTGAGTGACCACGAGGACCTTGAGATGAGAGTGGCCCGGTAGGTGGCATCCCTCCTCTGTGCCGAGACCCCCTCGGAAGGCCCCCCCAGAGTTGTGACACCTCTAGTCTCTCACACCAGAACTCCCCCATTTGCTGCCCGGGTCCCAGGCAGTGGCCAAGAGCTGAAAGGGACTCCAGGAATTCAGAGAAGGCGCCAGGAAGGCCGCACCCCTGCCTGGGACATTCCTTCACTCACTCCTCCCCTTGGGTCACCATAAAGTCCCCCACAGCACCCCTAATTTGACAAAGCCCCCTGACAAGGCAGGACACCAGCAAAGCGATCAGACTCCAGCTTGGCACCGCTGACCCCCTCCCCCACCCCCCCCCACCCCTGCCCAGATGTCCCAGCTGGCCAGGCTGGGGACCTCCAGGCCCCTCTCCACTGTCCCCTCACCTCGGGGCCCCACTTGGCAGTGTCCTGGGACATCATCCAGAGGTGGATGCACGTTCCCGCAGATACACATGGCCCGAGCGCAGAGCGGGACGGAGGTGTGGGTGGCTGGCTAGTGGCCAAACCGGCTCTGGCCAGTTCTCAAGCCCCGCCCCCACGTCCCTAGGCTGGGGTCCTGCGGATGCTTGGCTCTCCTTACTCCCAAAGGCAGGGATCTTGGATCCCGGGCAGCACAGTTCCAAGGGGGATGGGTGCAGAATGACTGGGAAACTGAGGCCGAAGGTGTGAGAAGGCTCAGGTAAGCTGCCGCTGCGGCCACCGCCAGGACGCCACTGTACCTTCTTGGCTATCTGGGGACCAGAGTCCCCAACTCAGGCAGGCCGATTCTTTACAGACCCCAGGCGTATGAGATCTCCTTTGTGGAACAAGGTAGCTCCGGAGCGAACTGTCACCCATGTCCTGCCTATCAGGTCCTTTCCCCTAGAGCAAAGAGGGTAACTCTGTCCCCAAGCCCAGTCTTCAGGCCACACAGCAGCATCCTGCCCAGGCCGGGCCTCCAAGGAAGCCCGGGAAAGCACTGGAGATTAGCGCTTCCCCAGGAAGCCAGTTCCCCCCTCCACCCAGATATAACCCAGGGGGCTTCCACCCTCTCAGCTACACAGGGCCTGGTTATTAGCCCCAGGGTGGGGGTGGGGTGCTCAGGCCTCTCTAAGGCCTCAGTCTCCTCATCTGTGAAATGGGTGCAGGCCAGAATACTTCGGCACAGCCCCTGGCACTGTGGTTTCCGGGAGCTGACACTAAGAACTGAAGACGTTACATGAAGTGTTATGCCTGGCCCAGCTAGAGGTGCCCGCCTGGCCTGCCAGGAACAAACAGGAAGCAGATGAAAATAACTCGGCAGGAAGCAGGGCTGTCAGCAGCCCTGTGGAGGAGAAAACGGAACTGCTATCCCGCAGCCCAAAGCTACTTACTCCTCTGCACCTCCTACAGTGTAGGAGTACAGAGTACTCCTGGGCTTCACCACCCAGCCCTCAGCCCACTTCCGGTCCATAGGGTTCCAAAATGCAGACGGGACTCAATTCATCCTCTGCTCTAATGCTTACTGCCCTTGAGGTAACTTCTAGGGTGATGCCTTTGCCCCACACCACCCTTCACCTTTAAATATATTTTCCATTGCCAGTGCACCAGACATTTTCTCTGCTAGCATATTTTTCCCTCTTACTTGTGCCCAAACTCCTACACATCCTTCAAAACCCAAGCTGTCATGGCTTAGCACACGCAGCTCTCCCTGAAGTTCCAAGTTTCTTTCCCTAAGTCCTCTCTTGAAAAGATCTGTGCTGTGCTCTGCTTTCCACCCAGGCCTTCATGTCCCGGTTGGTCCTCACCATCACGCAACACACACTCCTTGAGTTTTTCTAGGCCCTCGGCGAAGCGGGCCACGTCAGCCAGCAGGTTTGAGATGTCTTCCACGGCATCCAGGGAAGGGCCCTCGGTGGGCAGCTCCGCAGGGCTGGTGGCTGTCAGGGGGCTTCGGTAGCCCCTGCCAAGGGTCCAGGAGGCAGTACCAGAGAGGGGGAAGCCAGCAGCGCTGGCATGGCGGCTCAGGCTGGTGGGCCGCTTGAGCGTGCCAGTGGCCTTGGCACTGGAGGCTGAAGCTGGAGGCTCCAGGCTGGGTGCAGAGAAGATGGCATCAGCGCCATCTTTCCTGGTGAGCTCCTGGGAAGGCCAAGAAAACCGTAAGGGGGTGGGGGGGGATGTGACAGCCTGAGTGCTGCCTCAGTTTCCCGACAATGAAATGATTCCGCAAGGGTCAAAGGCCAGAGGGCTGAGATTTGGGGCGGTGTGCCCCCCCACAAACACACCTGTTACCCAACATCCTCTTCCCTAGAGCTTTCACAAACAACGGTCCCTGCCCAAACCACAGCCAGGGGCGGGGCTGACAGGGGCGGGGGAGGGGCACCCCACTTCCTGCTGGGGGTGGAGAAGCGGGAGGGGAGGGGGGGTCCTCAGCCTCCAGCCCCCTCAACTTCTGCAGACGTGGATCCTTCCAGAAGGGCATTTCTGAGACCATTTCTGTGCCCTGGAGGGTCCCCCTCCCAGTCCCGTGGACACACCCAAGCCTTGGACACAGATACCTGAAAACTTCACACACACCTCCAGTTTCGTAGACGCCCCCCCCCCGGGCCTCCAGACACCCCAGAGTCCTCCACGCCCCGGATCCACGCGCCAGGTCCCGTTAGATTGCCCACAGCTTCGCAAGCTTCCAATCCAGCCCCCGCCCCGCAGCGCCGGGGGCGCCCCCACACTGCCCGAACCCCCATCCCGCACAGCGCCAAGCCCTCCCAACCCTCGAGCCCCCCTACCGTGAGCCGGACACCCCCGTCCCGGGGCGGCGCGCGCAGCCGCGCGGCCCGCGGGGGGCTGTAGCTGGTGCGGGACCCCGGCCGCCGGCCCAGCATGGTGCCCGGTGCGGGGCTCCGACCCCGCGCGCGCGTGCGCGTCCGGACCCGGGAGCCCCTGCCGTGCGGTGCGCGCGGCGCCGAGCCCGCGCCGGGTCCCGCCCGCCCCGGACCCAACTCACCCCCGAGGGCTGCGGGCTGGGGCTTCCCGCCCGGTTCTTTTTGGAGATGGAAGGGGTTTTCATGAGCTCGCGTTTCTTCCTGGAGAACATAGTGTGCGGCGGCCGGGCGGCCCGAGGTGGGGCGCGGATGGGGTCCGGGCTCAGCTCCCCGCGCGCCCGCCGGCTCGGCAGCACCTGGCCGCGGGCCGCCCGCCCCGGCTGTCAGCCCCGCGTGACGGCCGCCGCCCTCATTGGCTGCGCCCGGCGCAGGAAAAGGCCGCGGAGGCGCGGCCCGCCCCGCGCCCGGCTCGCCGGCCTCGGCCTGCCGCTCCGCGGAGTGGGCGCGAGCGCCCCGCGCCGCCGCCGCGCCCCGCCCCCGACTTCCGCTCCCGGGAGCTGGGCGCCCTCCGCGGGGGGCCCCACCCCACCCCGATCCTCATCCGGACGCTCCCGCGGGACCAGGGGCGCGCAGAGCGTCGTGCGCCCGGACGCGCAGGGGGACGCGGCTCCTCACGTGTGTGTGTGTGTGTGTGTGTGTGTGTGTGTGTTGGGGGGGCAGTGGAGAGCCTCCTCCCGGGTGCTGACCACACAGACTCCACCTGAACCGCCCTCTCCTGCCTCTTCTGGTCAGCCCTGCCACGCCACTCACTTCCATTTCGGCTCCCCGCTTCCCATCCACTCTCAAAGCGCCCAGCTGGCCGGCAGCTTAGAACCCACAGCTGAGCTGAGGGACACAGACACAGAAGGCTGACCACTCCCTTCCAAGGACAGTCAGCACTGGATGGAGAGATTCATCCGAGGGCTATAGATCCTTCCTTCCCTCCCCCCACCCCACCCCACGGGGGTTTTAGCTCAGGGCTCTGCCTCTGAGCTCTTTTGCTCAACGCCAGCGGTCTACCATTCTGAGGTACAGCTCCACTTCCGGGTTTCTGGTGGTTCGTTGGAGATAAAGAGTCTCACAGCCTCTCCTGCTTGGGCTGGGCTTGAACCATGATCCTCAGAGCTCAGCCTCCTGAGTAGCTAGGATTACAGGTGTGAGCCCCCGGTGCTTGGCTCACTTCTAGCTTTTTGCTGGTTAATTGCAGATAAGAGCCTCATGGATATCTGCCTGGAGTGGGCTTTGAACTACAATCCTCAGATCTCAAGTCTCCCAAATAGCTATGACTACAGAAGTGAGCCACAGGCCCTGGGCGTGGATCCCCTTCTGGACTCTCCCAGGACTCTTCCTTTAATCCAACTGCCCCAACCCGCTGGCCCTGCCAACCCCCTCCCCTACTGACCTCTGATGGCAGGGGTGGCTCTCCAGGGCACAAGCCTGGAAGGCCACAGCCCCCGGTGCTGAATTCAGTTCTCCAAGCCCTGGTCCAACCACAAACCCATCCTAGTAGCCCCTTGAGGACCTTCTGTCTCCTGCTCATTGCTCTGTCAGCTGGGATTGGGGAAAGTGCTCGCTGGCTGGAGGGTACACTGCTTTGGCCTGGCCGGAAGGGCTGGGCTTCGGTCTCTTCTTAGCTGCTTGGAACATTCCCCAGCCCTGACTTCATCCCACTTCACAGTCAGGTGCACTCACAGCTACTGCCCTTAGGCACCAGACCCACGTGGGCACACAGGACTCTGGGTACCAGTGAGTGACCAGGTCCTAGGAGGCCCTACATTGTATGCCTTTTGTGTGGGTTTCCTCATTGATTGGGGTCAAAGCAGCTGTGGCTGAGCTTAGGCCTGCTCCACAAGTGACCCCCACAGCCACATACACTCAGCATGCAAAGGGTCTGTGTTGTGCAAATGTCACCTGCCACAGAGACACACAGTTTTGCCATGCCACCACTGCAGACTTCTCTTTATTTTCTCCGGGGATGCTTGAGCTCTACAGCTTGGAGCTTAGGCACCAGGCCTTCTACTTTGACTTTGCCTCTCAGGGCCTCCCAAGAGCGCCCCTCTCCTCTCCCCTCCCCCAATCAGGGAGGCTCACAGCATGGTCTCCACCATGCTGGGGTCCTCTAGGAACCGGTTGATGCGTTTGGGACGTAGCGGGCCTGGTGGGGTGTCCGTCTCCCCTTCAGCTTCTGGCTGGTGATCCTCATCTTCATCTTTTCCCTGGTCTTTGGAGAAGTATAGGAATACCTGGCAGGTGGGTGGCACAGGGGGGGCAGGAAAAGACAGGAGGGGCTGTCAGTCGAGGGTGGGGACTCCAGTCCCTCTTCCAGTCCCATCCTGCCTCTGCGGTCACCTCCTCCAGAGTGGTTTGGCTCACGGAAAAGTCCTCCACGCCGTGGTCTGCGCCATGCGCGGCTAACTCTCCAAAGACGTGCGCCAGAGCGCAGCGCCCTCCCGGCGGCAGCTGGAAGCGCAGGCGGCCTCCGTGCACCTCTCGAAGCTCGGCCCCTGGGAACGCCGCCGCCACGAAGGCCGCTGCCCGCTCGGGTTGGTCCGCCGGGACCCTCAGGGTCAGTGTGTGGCCAGACCCGAATCTGGAGGGGCCGGGACCAGGGCTACCAGACACGCCCACACAGCCTCCCCGGTCTGCTAGCCTAGCTCCCCACGATCTACAGCCACATGGCCTTTTCCTACCTTCCTCTAAAGAGGCTCCCGGCCCTACCCGCCAGCTCACCCCGTCCGGTCCGGCTCACCCGTGAGCCCCACCCACTCACCAGACCCTACCGGCCTCGGCCTGCGGATACTTTACTCCTCCCAGCTCCATCTGTCACCCCGCCCAGAGCCCAGAGCCCCCTTACCACTCGCTCTCTGCCCCCCCTCCCCGCACCCAACAAGCGATCCCATCCCCACACTTGGCAGCCCAGCCCTTCCAGCCCGGGTCCAGTCCAAAGCCATCCAACCCTGCCCAGCCACTCTTCTTTCCCGGTCTCCCCCGCAGGCCACGCCCATTCCCTCTGGCCCCGCCCACAGCCAAGCTCTCCTCTGTGGCTCCACCTCCACGCAGCCTGATTACCGCTTCTACCAATCAGGTCTCACCTCCCCCTAGGACAGGCACCCAGGAAGCCCGTTGGCTCCGCCCCTTTATCCAGCTCTGGGATAATTCATAATCCCAGCCAATTACAGACCACTTCTCCTCCCCCATGCCCAATCCTCCTCCTGTCTGATGTCTCCACACTTGCTTTGAGACCTTGCTGCCCACCTGCTCTTGAGATGCTGCGCGCTGCCCAGGCAACGGAATCGCCCATTCACCATGATGGCCAGGCGTGTGCAAAGAGCTTCACACTCCTCCATGCTGTGGAAAGCCCCGCTCCATGAGCTTGGTGAGGCGTGGATCAGCCAAGCCTGGCATAGCGTTACCCAAGCCAGAGCCTTCCCCCTCCAGGGTGATCCCGCTTCTCTGGACAATTGCTGCTGGGCCTACACTGGGTACCATCTGAGGCTGGGTACCATCAGCAGGTGTTCCTTGGCCATGGGGTCCCACAAACTCGGTAAGGGGATGTGATCAAGAGCGCCCCCTTGGGGATGGTCCTGTGTTCTGAACAGCCTCTCCCTAGAGCCTGCTAGGTCCTCTGCCCTGGGTATCTGGTGGGGAGGGAGGGGGCTGAGGAGGGGGAAAGGTACCTGTGCGAGGTGAGCACCACGGAGTGCCCCTCCCGCACTACGGCCAGGAGGCTGTTCCAGAGGAAGCGCCGTGCACTGGGGTCCATGCCGGTGGTGGGCTCATCCTGGGAAGAGAGGACATGTCCTAGGCCAGGCCATGTAGATGCCCCAGACCCCACTCTGCCCACCCCACACCCCACACACCAGAAAGACCACAGCAGGATCTCCAACCAGGGCAATAGCTGTCGCCAGCTTCCGTTTGTTGCCTCCACTGTAGGTGCCTGCAGGTCTGTCCGCGTAACGTGGGAGCCCCAGGCGGGCCAGGCCCAGGCTGGCTATCTGTGGAGCAGGCCCAGAATAAGCATGAGGCAGTCACGCACAGATGGATC